TGAGTGGAGGGGTTGGTGGCTGAGTGGCTGGATGATTGAATGGTTGTCTGAGTGGGTGGTTGTTTGGTTGCCTACATGTATGAATGACTAGCTGGCTGGGTGGTTAACTGGCTTGGTAAATAGGTGGCTGTCTGGATGGGTGAGTGGGTGGGTGGCTCATTGAATAAGCATCTGAATAGCTCACTGAGTGGCGGGTTGGGTCATTTCTGGCTGGCTAGGTGGCTGGTTGGATCGGTGGCAAGGTTATTGTCTAGGTGGCCATGTGTCTAGATAACTGCCTGGCTGACTGGCTGGGGTGGTTATCTGGCTGAGTGGCCAATCGACTTGCTATGCACGGTTGAATGGCTGGATCACCAACTGGTTCTAGGTCGAGAGGCGGGAACACGGAGCGATCATTCGGCAATTTGTGCCGACGCAGTCCTTCTGTCTTGTGAGCTTGAGCAAAAGCTTCTCTTGAAAAAGAACATCACATTTTCCTCCCGTCAGACTTCTCACCCCCCACCCACCCCCGAAATAAAGCACCACGGGGCACCCGTGAAACAGGCCTGGCGGCTGCCCAGACACAACTCTTCCTTCACCGTTCAATGTATAATTCCCTGGGGCATGACCCCTATTTTATAAAGTTAAAATGTCAAATTGAAATGTTCTCATCCGGACCATTGTCCATTCTCTTCCGATTTTTTTTCGTCTCTCGCATCGGGGGGGGGGGGGGGGGGACGAATCGCAAACTTATAGCTGGGCTAATCAGATAATATAAGCAATCGATTATTGGATAGATTATTGGGTTGATTACTCCAATAATAGCACAAAAAAGAGTTGCGGGCAGTAAACAAAGTCTCCACCTCTGTTCCCCACGTGTGTGTGCCTCTGGACAGGAGGGTGATGGGCAGCGACTTGGCGTAGTTTTATCGGGTTCTGTCTGAGTCGACGACCCGGACGATACTTCCACACCCGGCACACCACGTCCAGTATGCATCTCACTGTGACCGTGGCTCTTGTCACGTGTCTACGCCAGTTAATCGGCAACCCGACACAGATTTCTGCACCGGGAACACCGTCAACTCGGTACCTCTGTAGGATCCTGTCACGACACATCGTGTGAGAGACTAAAGTGTTTTTCATTTTGAAATGTTGCAGCTGCCAGTGCACCACCCTGTGTCTGTACATTTATAGGCATCTGCGCTCTATGACAGACTTGTAGAGGCAGGGCACACGAGGGGGGGTGGGTGGCCGGGCATCGCGCCCTTGCCGCCTTTGTCTCCCACGTGGCGATGCTTACACACCGCACCAGGCACTCATTTGAGGCTGAGTCGACCTCGGGGAGGCCCAGGACCGGTTCAGATAATTGTCACGGGTATTGGTGGCCGAGAGCGGGAATCGAACTCGGGTCGCCGGGTTCGTGGCGTAGCGCGCCAACCACTGTGCCACCGCTCCCCACGTGCTCCCCACGTGCACACACGTGTATGCGTCGCGTGCGATCTTCATCTCGACATTTTATCGGCGCTGGATAGTTTCAGAGAAAATAACAAAAAAACTACGACGTTACGATCGCAAAAAAGCGGTCGTCATCGTTTTTCCTGATGACGACCGCTTGTGTTGCGATCGAAACGTCGTAGTTTTTTGTTCTTTTCTTCGAACTTATCTACGTGACTTTACCGAAAGACCCAAAGAATATGAATTCCTGCAGTCACGAAAGCTTTAAGTCACGTGGAGGGAGTTCAGCAATCGTTATGCGCGTTGCAGCGCGTAACGACTCGTAATGTTTACTCAGACAGAGAACACAACAAAATTAACACATTCATCAATAAAACCTGTTGGCCTCAAAAGGCAGGAAGGGGGACATAGGCGACGACGTTTTGGGAAATGGCCCTTCTTCATAGCAGAATAAATACTCTTAACGAATCGGCGCTGACGATCGGTGCATATGTATGATGAAATTATTTTGCATAATACTAGCCAAACGTGCTCAACATTCGACTATTTGTTTTTTAGATTAAACTATGTTTTTTTCTACAGGTAAGGGCTACTGAGCTTTACAGCTCTTTTTTCAAAAGCCACCTGACCACAAATGATAGTTAAGCGAAGTGGCTTATCGTTTGGAAATGTATTGCAGCCAAATACCCTACACGCGTGTTTCTCAATTTTGGAGGGAAAACCCGGAGGACCCGGAGAAAAATCCACGCGACTACGGGGCGAACATCCAAATATACGGGCGTCACGGTCGAGATCGAACCCACGACTTTCTGCATACCAGGCGAGGTAGTTAACATCCTAGCTATCGCCATGCGGTCAACACGTGTGAATGGACGTGGGGGGGGGGTAGGGCTGCGTGGCATTGCGAGGACTTTAATTGGAAAAGAGGGGGGGTTGGCAGGGATCCCCCCCTCCACTCTCCTCCCATGCGCTCGGCGAGTTAGAATATAGAGCAGCGCTTGAACCCTCTCATTAACATTGCACGCGTGCGCGTCGCACTGCGCCACACACACACACACACCAGGGCGAGGCAGCTGGCTGAGTGTCCGCCGAGCCTTCAAACGAGCGCAGGGCAGGGCCTGGGGTGGGGGAGGCAAGTGATTTCTGCGTCGAAAACACAATCAGCAGGCAGTCAAGTAATAATAACAACAGCAATGATACAATTATTGTTGTTTACATTGGCCAGGCGCATTTCCATCTGTACATCCCAGTCGCCCTCCAACGGATGCAGAAATACATTGACCACGTTTTGTTTGACCGCGTGGCTAACTTTATTTATTTACTGCTTCGGGTGGAAGGGGGGTTTACGACACACATTTTTATTTGACGCGATCTGACCTCCCCCATAACCCCCCCCCCCCCCCACCAACAATTATGAATAATAATATTGGTCGTGAAAGTTTAACACGCAGGCTTTCGCGACCAAAATGATCCATAATAGATGTTTCGCCAGTATTTGCAACCAGCATCATCAGGCAACAGGCGGACATTCTGATGATGCTGGTTGTAGCTACTGGCGAAACGTCGCACTCGAATTGTACATGTTGTGAGTTCACTTTCCAAAACACAGAACCGGTAACGATTTGCCATGGTTTGCTCACGTGACAAACCTTACTAATTGGCTGTGTCGGGTGGTGGCGGGTTTCACGACACATTTATATATTTACGCGATCTAACCCAAAAAAAACCTCGATTGTGGATTGGTCGTGAAAGCCTACTACGTGTAAGATGTCAAACACAAACTATATCTGACACATCTCAATCAGCCACACGGCCTCGTGGCAGTGCGCAATTTCAGCAACGCGAGCGATACTTCGGGCTGATTTCGAGCCCTTGTTTAACTCCACTGCTGGATGATGAACTTCGCCCACGCGGTGTGGGGGAGGGGTGGGGTCACCGTATTTGACCATACCTCACCACGCTGGTCAATGCGGATTGGTGAAAGCGGAGAGCATAGGCAATCCAGTACAACAAAGGAGGCCAGCCACAACCCACGTAGCCTCGCAGGAGCCTGTACCACCTGCTATATATTGCGGTTGCCTATCCGGACTCGGGACTGGTTAGCTTTCGAGACCCGGCTAGATCGAATGTTTGGTCATATCGGCATTACATTCACGAGTTTAAAAAACACCTTCATGTTCATTTCATTTTTATGAATGGATGACTTCACGTTCAGTAGACACGTGTTGCCTCCTCTAACGTGAATACCAGGTTTATTATCATCAGCAGCAGCAGCAGCACCGGCAGACGCATGGCTTCTCTCAATCCCTCCATGCTTCGTGTACCACGTGTTATTGTTGTTCAACACGAGGTCCGACGTTTCGCTCCACGAGCTGCTCGGAGCTTCGGCGCCAGCCGCTGAACTGAGCCAGACGATGCGCTTTCCCGCCACGGCGATTATCGTGTTCAATTCACTCCCCGAAGAAGCTTCCAGCTACGTGGTGCGAAACGTCGGACACCAGCGCCGACCAACACGGCGGAGATCAACGCGAAAGCGCACGCGCGCGCGCGCGCATCGGAGCGCCCCTCCGCAGCACAGCTGTGAAAACCCGCACACGCTAGTCGGCATGATCTCTCTATCTTCACCACGTATCCATCCAATTGATTGTATATAACAGCGTATGGCGATTCTGCCCCCACCTACCCATAGCCCCCCCCGCCCCGTAACCCCCCCCCCTTATAAATGTAAGCATAGCATGGATTGGATGAACGAAAGGGGGGGCTCGATGTGGCGAGAGGGGGAGCGAAGCAGAGAGAGAGAGAGAGGGGAGGGGGAGGGTAGGTGGACGCCTGGGGGTGGGATATCATTTGCGCTGTTTCTTGCAACATCCACGCGGCGTGATGTGATTCCCCTGATTCGCATGATCATCAGCAGCAGGAGGAGCAGCAGCAGCAGCATCATCATCATCATCGTCGCAAGTCAACTTCAAGTCGAGACGCGCCGCTAAGAGAGAAGTCATTGCGAGATTAGTCCCCGTCTGAGAAGCGTCGTTAATTGAAATCCCCGTTCTTTTTTTGCGTGTTGCGTGTTGCGCTCCTATCCGCTCCGTCCAAAAATACAATTTGCGTAGTCAGCGAGTTCGCACAACCCGATCATTAACATTCAGAAGACTGCACCCAACCGCGTGTAGCGTTCCAAGGGAGATTTTTGATGAGATTCTTAATATAATAATAATTCTAATAATCGTCCAGAGTCATTTTGAATCATAGAGTCAGTCTTATATTGATAGCGCATCTCTTGACGAAGCTGGAGTTTGCAAACACATCCTTCTTATTATACGTCCCACAGTCGTTCGTCACACACAACAAAGAGCATCCCCTCCCCCCGCCCTCCCACCCTCTGCCCCCCTCACCTCTTTCCCTCCTCTTTCTAGGCTACGTAGACTGTTGGGGCAAGTGCTGCTAGCGAGCACCTCGTCACATCACACACACACACACACGCGCGCGCGCAAATATCTTTATCGCATTCCCAGAGCGACTCACACCCCTAGAGCGACTTGCTCAAACTCATCGCTCCTCTGTTCGCGATGGAGTTACTAGCGCACGCGTGTAACTTCACGTCGTCGTCGTCGTCACCACCATCCTTCTTCTCGTCCGCTCCCGGCGCAACCCCGTGCACTCCGGGCACCTCCCCCGTCACGTCGCACCCGGACGCCGATCCGCGCGGCGTCGACCCGAACATGACCACGGTCCCGGGCTCGAACCTCACGGGCCCTCCTCTTCACCCGCTGCCCCTGCTGCCCACGTTCAGCGCCGCTGCTCGGGTGCGTGTGTGCGTAACGCTCATCCTGCTGCTCGCGTCGGCGACTCTCAACGGCATGGTGCTGCGCTCGGCGTGCCTCGACAGGCGAACGCGAAGTCGCCGCCAGCGCGGATCGCACGTGCGCCTGCTCATGCTCCACCTGAGCGCGGCCGATCTCCTCTTCACTCTCCTCGTGATGCCTCTGGACGCCGCGTGGAACGTCACTCTGGAGTGGCGTGCCGGCGACGCCGCCTGCCGCCTGCTCATGTTCCTCAAGCTGTTCGCGATGTACGCGAGCGCATTCGTGACGGCCGTCATCAGCTTGGACCGCTACTCGGCCGTGGTCAACCCGCTCGCGTTTGGCCAGGCGAAGAGACGCAGCCGCGTGACGCTCTGCCTGGCGTGGGCTCTGAGCGCCGTGCTCGCACTCCCGCAGGTGAGGAAGGTCGTGGCTCCCGGAGTGCCCGAAACTCTCACCGCGCGCGCCTTGTCCGACGTTTCTCTCCAAGTGCTCAACTCCGCGGATGCCCCGCAAGGTCTCTACCGTAAAAAACGCGCGCAGAGAAAGACGTCTCCCATACGCGTTTTTGGGTTAAACTGCGCGCAGTTGCCGGCGTGATGTCCGATGTTTCGCTCCGAGTGCCGGGAAGTTCTTCGGGAAATTAAACGGTTCCTGAAGATGATGAATTCACTTCCTCGAGAAGCGGCCCCCAGAATACGGTGCGAAATTTCGGGCGCCGCGTGTTTTCCGGATCGTTCCGCGCGCTTGTTTCCGGCGCAGTGTCCGACGTTTCGCTCCACGTGCCTGGGAGCTTCTTCGGAAATTGCGTTCCCCAGAAGCCGCCAGCGCGCGGAGCGAAACGTGGCCGTGCACGCGCGCCTGTGATCTAGCGCGTAGGAGATGAAGGGGGGTTGGTGTATCACGCTGAGATTTGTGAAGCTCCCCAAACTCCGCTGGGACGCCACGTGGACAGGAAGTGGCAGTACTGCACTGTGAATCAAGTGGATCGATGAATCCACCTGTGCAGAACTTTTAATGTTACCCCCCCCCCTCCCCTTGGAAGTATTGTCAGGACATTGCTCTGAGTTGGGTACTTAGGCTGGATTCAGATGTCACGACCGGAGGTCATCGATTTGTTTAATTAGCTAAAAGTGGGGTAATTTTAAGCAACAGTGGATGGATTGGTGTGCAGTCGGAACGCTTTCTGAAGCAGTTTTGTGTTTGTTGATAAAGGCGTAGCCAGGCAATTGCTCGCTCACGCCACTGCTGTCGGAAGAGCCTCTACAAGGGGTAGACATCGAATGGCTCTATAGACTGCAGGGTGTGTACTTTTGCCTACTCTGCCACGCGAGTCAAACGTCTTTGGAGAGGTGCAAGCACCCACATCTTACCCACCATTCATGACCCGCCCCTCTGCGAACTACGGTGGTTCAGAGGCGAGGCAATTCAAGAAACTGGCTTGCACCAATTGCTTGTTGTATATGTATACTGTATGTTGAACTTCGTTCGCACCGTACCTATCCAACCGTGCTTAACGGAGGTGTTTCAAGTGCCACCGCACGTAGCCAACCGTGCTAATTGGAGGTGTCAGGACAATAGGTCGCATGTGCAGCGTGATCCCCTTTACACCGCGTGTGTGCGTGTATGTGTGTGTGTATGTGGGGAGCGGTGGTGTAGCGGTTAGCGCGCTGCGCTATGAATGAACCTGGCGACCCGGGTTCGATTCCCGCTCACGGCACAACACCAGTGACGATTATCTGAACCGGTCCTGGGCCTCCCCTAGGTCGACTCAGCCTTAAATGAGTACCTGGTGTGGTGTGTAAACATCGCCACTGGGGAGGCAAAGGCGGTCGGGCGTGGTGCTGGCCACCCACCCCCTCGTGTACCGTTCCGGCCTTCATAGGTGCTCGCTAACAGCACTTGCCCCTACAGTCTGTCAAGGCTACACGGAGGATCTTTGTCTTTGTCTTTGTATGTGTGTTATGGGGAGCGGTAGTGTAGCGGTTAGTGCGCTGCGCTATGAACCTGGCGACCCGGGTTCGATTCCCGCTCACGGCACAACACCAGTGACGATTATCTGAACCGGTCCTGGGCCTCCCCTAGGTCGACTCAGCCTTAAATGAGTACCTGGTGCGGTGTGTAAACATCGCCACTGGGGAGACAAAGGCGGTCGGGCGTGGTGCTGGCCACCCACCCTCTTGTGTACCGTTCCGGCCTTCATAGGTGCTCGCTAACAGCACTTGCCCCTACAGTCTGTCAAGGCTACACGGAGGATCTTTGTCTTTGTATGTGTGTTATGGGGAGCGGTAGTGTAGCGGTTAGTGCGCTGCGCTATGAACCTGGCGACCCGGGTTCGATTCCCGCTCACGGCACAACACCAGTGACGATTATCTGAACCGGTCCTGGGCCTCCCCTAGGTCGACTCAGCCTTAAATGAGTACCTGGTGCGGTGTGTAAACATCGCCACTGGGGAGACAAAGGCGGTCGGGCGTGGTGCTGGCCACCCACCCTCTCGTGTACCGTTCCGGCCTTCATAGGTGCTCGCTAACAGCACTTGCCCCTACAGTCTATTAAGGCTATACGGGGGATCTTTGTTTTTTTATGTGTGTGCGCGTGGACACTACCACGGTGGCATCCGAGGCGTGAGTGTCTCTCAAAATGTCAAACCGCGTGCTCATTCCTTTCTGGAACACTTCTGTGCGTTCTCCTCCCTCCAGAACACAATCACGCGTGCCAGAGCTCTCATCATGGGACCCCCCCCCCCCGCCCGACCTCTCAATGTCCTGATAATGTCATTGTCATTGTGCTCTACGCCTTTTGGCGTCCTCTGGTCTAACACGGTTCGAGACGAGGCTCTAAAGAAAGCTGTCTCTGGTGTGGACCAATCAGTTTCAAAGACAACGCATATGCTACCAGAGCATGTTTTTTTTTTGCATGTTCATCACGAGTATATGTGGTTAATGCTGACCTGATTCCTTGCAAAAGGTTTCTGTTTGGTGTTTTAACATCTTAACACCTGGTTTTTTTTTTGCCAGAAAGGGTAAAACCTATTCTTATACAGACCTCTCATGTATGTACGTATGTATGTTGAACGTCTTTCTCGCCGTACGTAGCCAACCGCGATAAGCATCACAGTTGCGAAGCAATATTTGCTGCGTGACTCTTTCTTTCTACGTTTCGAATTTTTTTTCCCATCTGCTAAAATTTCATATTGGGAAGCTGTCGTGGTGTGATGGTTAGCGAGCGCAATGGGACTTGTAATTTAGATGCCGCCTCAAGGGGAGGGGAGGGGAGGGGAGCGGTGGTGCTTGCACATTGAGGGAGGGAGGGGAGGTAGGGGAAAAGGGGGGGGGTGGAGGAGACGGGCACTCATCCAGCAGTGGATTGACAAATGGGTCTGCAACGCGCGCGGCACCTTCCACGAGTGAGCGCGCACGTGTGCCACTCGCGCGCGGCGCTTCGCACTTCACGGCGAGGAAGACGCGAGCGTGGAGAATTGTTCTCGCGTGGCCCTGATTTCTTCTGCGCGTGGCCTGTCAGCGCTCCTTTGTCCGCGCTCAAAGCGCTATTTCAACAACAACTACGAAAATGATTGCAATGTGTCGTGAAATCAGCACATACCTAAACACACGCTGGATGCTACGGCGCAAGGGTAAAACCCGGGCTGGCTTTCCCCCCCCCCCCCTTACGGAATGGACTTCACGGATTCGGGCATGAGCGGTGGTGCTTGCAGATTGAGGATCACAAATAAGGTAAAACCCGGGCTGGCCACATTAGCCCCTGTGGAATGGACTTCACGTATTCAGGATTGAGCAGTGGTGCTGGCACATTGAGGGTCCTGAGCAGAATTTGTTTAAAATTCCGGGATGGTCACAATTCTCGCTGCGGAATGGACTTCACGTATTCCGGCGTCAGTGTTGGTGATGGCACACTGAGGATCACAAATAATGTAAAACCCGGGCTGGGCACATTTGCCACCACGGAATGGATTTCACGGATTCGGGCATGAGCGATGGTGCTGGCACATTGATGGTCCTAAGCAGGAAATGTGTAAAACCCGGGCTGGTCACGTTTCCCCCTGTGGAATGGACTTCACGCATTCAGGCATCAGTGTTGGTGATGGCACACCGAGGGTCGTTAAAATAAATTACTGTTGAAGACCCACCTCCTTTCAATGTGTAAACTCTTCGTGAGATGGCTGAAGAGATATCGACACGAGATTGAAATGCAGTGAGTGAGATGTGAGCATAGATATACAGATGGTACAGATGTAGTGAAATTAATCGAGATGTACACAAGATACAAATATGAAGTTACGCGAGAGGAGAGACGTAAAAAAAGATAAGGGACTAGATATTATCTTCTTGTTTCTTTCGGTAAAGTCACGTAGAAGGGAAGTAATAAAATAATAAAAATAAAACATAATAAAATAATGTGAGAATTATATTATATTATTTTATTATATTATTATATTATGTTATTATATTATTATCTTATTTTATTATATTATTTTATTTTATTATGTTTTATTTTTATTATTTTATTACTTCCCTTCTACGTGACTTTATCGAAAGAACCAAGAAGATGAATCCCTGCAGTCACGAAAGCTTTAAATCGAGACTAGATATTAATTGGCGTTTTAATGTTAATCGGCATTTTATGTTGATTGGGATTTAAATTCGAGATAATATTTGATTAAACTTTTTTTAATATTTAACTCTGAGGCCCCTTTAACTGCTTGGGACCACCTCAACCGCGGCTTAGTTTTGCCTGTAGCCTAGCATCACCACTTGATCGCCTGGCATACAGAACGACCAACATTTTTTTTGTATTTCTCCCAGGCAATAAAGTGAGAAGAAAAAAAAGCGGAATGATATAACTGCTGCAGTTAATGGAGTCTATCATCCTCTCACTGCGTTGCATTGCTCATAGAAGTTCCAAGCGCTTATCTGTGCCTTAGCCAGCAGGCACAGGGGATTGATACAGGAATTATTTTTTTAAGTGATCCATAAAAGGAAATCGGTTTTGGTGCCACAAATATATAAGTACGTAAGTTCAGCATGTTAGCACGCCTCAAGTGAGGCGAGAGAGAGATAATGAAAAAATTAACCCGTAAAAACAAAGTTTTTCACTATAAATCCTTTATATGCGTGGCGGCTAGAGTCCTCTCGTCCTGTGGCTTGAGATGGCTGCCACCTATGGGTCAGATGATTGCCTGCCACCATTAAGCAATTTGTAATAAAATATAATTTATTTTTTTCTTAAAAAGTTTACAATTTTGGGAAAAAATTTTCACGAAAATAAATTGTCACGCACAACGAGTCTGTGTGCAAAATGTCAGCTCGATTGGATCACGGGAAGTGGGTTAAAAAACGACGAAAGATTTGCACGGTCGTAAGTGCGCAAGCAAGCAAGTGAACTTAATATAAAGGATT